GCGAATCCCGCGTCACGGACGAGCCGTTCATGCTTGCCGCACTCACGCAGCCTGTCTCATAATGCTCGGTTATACTCGCACCCGGCTCCGCAAACCTCCACGAGCGCATCTGGCAGTATGGACGAGGCTTGACACACGCGCACAACCTGTGTCGACTCGCGCCTGGCTCCGCGTTTAAAACAAATGTCGCAATCGCAATATCTGTCAAAAAAATCGCAATTTGATATTTTCCCCCAAATCGCACAGCCCTACTTTCTAGTGAAAATTAAATTGAGAGTTAAAAGATTAAATTATTCAGTTGTAATGGAACACACTAACATCACTGCCAAACACAATCTTAATCTGTGACACACAGCTGCCCACTCCAATATCCAACTGCCCCAGATTTACTAAGAGATGACTTAAAGATTATGACAGTGGTAGAAAAAAAAATACAGTTGACTGAATCAGAGAATTACATCTCCTGATCTTGCCTTACAATCAACCACGACCTCTCCGCTTCATTGAGAAAAGAACCAGTAAGAAAACACAGAAAGCATTTGAAAAACCTCCAACTGCTCAAGAACAGGAGTGATGGGGCTTACTTTGTATGATCTCCTGCTGTGATGGACAGAAGCTTAGTATTCACAGCCAATGACATATGATAAAAACAGAGCACTGTATACAAAAAAAATGACTCACTAATTCTTTCAACACATCTAAATTACTTCTGGAGTAACCTTGCAGTTTAGTAGTAACTGAAGAACACAGCGTCTGATGGATGTATTACAGGGCTCTACAGTGCGACCATTTCAGTCGCATTTGCGACTGAAAACTACTGCGTGCGACTATAAACATTTTTTTAGGAGCACCAGTGCGACTGACCCGATCATCATCATACTTGTGATTGCGCTCAGGGGAGCTTCAAATGTTTCTACGTGTTTTTGCAGCGTTGAGTAATGTATCACAGACATATCTCACGAATCCTTTCATAAGCAAAGTGAGAGATTCATTGCGCAGTGTAGAGAGCTTCGTTGATTATAGATGTGAGATCGAGATGAACTAAGATGAGTGCCAGCTTTTAATGATTTTTAAAGGAGTTTGTAAATGTGATACTGATTTAATACAATACAATTCAATAAACAAGAAGTTAATATTAAGTGACTTACATTGTCTGACTATAACACTATTGTCTGATTTTGCTCCATTTCGTCGTTGAAAATAGTTTGAAACAAAGTCACAGCTCAGCCGCTGCGCATCTATATTCTAACACAGCGGTGTCTCGTTTATGAATGAACTGCATTTTTAAACGAATCTTGTGAGTCAGTGATTCATGATTACCAATTCAATCTTTCATTTCTCCCTTTATTATACACCGATCCACAACTGGGGCAAGACAAACTCAAGCCCATCACAGTGAAATACAAAAAAAATGCAGCGTTTTTTTCTTTCCATTCTCAGGGCTTATCTGAAAGCACCAGATGCGGCAGAGAAAATTTATTTATCTCTCAGAGTGGAAAAATAAACTGAAATATAATAGACACCGTTGGAAATAGTGACCATTCCATTTCTGCCTCTCTACATCACATGATACTATGAAACACAAAGTACAGCCAATAACATTAAAGGTTGGCTGAAACTGCTAGTAAGTTCAAATTCTGCTTTAGGGTTTAGGAAATCTTGAACTGCTAAAAATGGAAAAAGGTGGAGCATTTGTCTGCTTATTTGAACAACGTGGTGGTCTCATCTAACAAAGCAAGTGCTTAACAAAGATTGAGAAAACACAACACACCGTATTTATTTTCACTGCAAAAATTCTCAGCGGAAATGCAGGATTCAAAAATGTTATTTCTGTAACACATGGAGACACTGAGACATCAGAAGGAATATTTGTTATGTCTTACCTTGAAGCATGCATCTGTAGGCAGATTCAGAAATGGCGTAGATATGAGGTGGCATTTCATGCCTCTTCTTGCCCCTGTACATCTCGATGATGTTCTCCGAGTATATGGGGAGGTTTTTGTATGGGTTTATGACCACACAGAAGAGTCCTGAGTATGTCTGCACAGACAAGAACAAACAAAAGGGGGGAAAAAAAAATCAACACTTAACTGGCGGTCAACCGATATGGGTTTTTAAAAGAAGCTGGACAAACAGCATAAATATAGAATATATACATACATTTAATAACATTCAATTATGTAAACAAAACAGTTTAAAAACATTGAACACATACGTGTTCATAACCAAACCCTGCAACTTGACATAAATCCCAACATTTTCAAATAAAAGAACCACAAAAGCGATTAAACATATAATGGCAACCCTCTACATTGCGAGTAAATCACTCGCATATGCGACAATCTTACTCTGGGCGACAAAATGTTGTCTAATATTAGCCACTGGCTAATAAATTCTCAGATTTTACTCGCCAGTGTGAGTTGGCGGCTAAGTATAAGTTTAGCTCAGATATATTTTCACTCGCCGAACACTCTCTGACTGAGCGCTTCAGAGTTTCACTCTCCGCCAAGCAATCTGTGCTGTTTTTCAGTTCATCTGAATGGATGTGCAACGCACCTGTATTTAACGTACCATAAACTCTAGTGTGAAG